TACCACTTCGGCGGTCCTTTTGACGACCTTTATTTCCTGGCAGCGTGAATTGTTATCACTTACGGTATAATTTAAGTTGAAACATATTTCTATGATCGAATAGGTCATTTGAATATGCGGTTGGCAAGATTCGAGTGCGGAAAGTTGTCCTTTATCTGAAGCGTAGGAATTTCACAGAAGTAAAGGGAATGGTTACACATCTGTACGGGCATCGGTAGGGTATAGGACCCCCAAATAACTTGAGGCAGCCTGTGGACCATGTTATACGTCGAATAATGGTCCAGTTCAGTTCAGCTCAGTTTTATTAGGGGAAATATAGGCAAGCGCCTTTACGAGTGGGCCGACACACTGGACGGAGAGCAGGAAGACACCGAAAATAAATAAATTTCTGCCGAGAATCTTATCGTACGCTGCGACTTGGCAAAAAAGGTGAGTGCGAGACTTAAAAAATAAAGAAAAAACAATTTTCAAAAATGACGGACTTCGGATAAACCGGTGCTGGTAAGTTTACATTTAGTCAGGAAGGGAAGGAAGTTCCATACGATGGGAACGACGAATAATAAGTGATGTTTGCATTCACACTGAAGTTTAGGGTATATTTTTGGAGTTCCCATCTACTTGGTGGTCCTACACCCTATCGTCACCTCTGTACCTTTATGAAACTCCTTCTTATTTATCGAATTGTCTGGCGTAAATGGGTCCTGATTGTTAGTCCTACCATTTTTGCTATCGTTCGCCAACATATGTCAACAATAAGTCGGTACTAGGACAAACTTGTTGTGAGGTAGGATTCGCTTAACACCCCGACAGCAATTTTACAGTCCATTGCAGCACAAAGCTGGCACTACTGTCAGACAGTCGACTGATGCATGGGAGAGGGGAAAGCGAGAATGGGGACGACGCTGGGACATCCATCCTAGCAGCACACTCGTGCATTCCTCACTAAAACAAATCTGACGCAGTTAAATCTACTGAGGCCCACGAAGACTTGGAAGGCTGCCAAATGACGAGAAAAGTCAATTCTTCTTGGGAAAGATAGTCAGGCTACAATAGCTCCTCGGTATGGCCTTTACAGCAGTTTCACATATGTGGGATCCAAGTCGTCTTTACTGAAGCCTGAAGCATCCAGCATGGAACACTGGGAAATCCATCCTGGCAGTACACTCGCATTCCTCATTAAAGCAAATCTGACACAATTAAATCTACTGAGGCTCACGGACCAAGCGCACTTTTTGGTGGTTTAATATTATTAAATACTAATATTATTAATACCAATAATATTAATATAATAATATTACTATATCGTAATACTAATATTAATAATATCAATATTATATGAATATTATATATAATATGTATAATAAGTATAATATTTATATAGATCTAATATATATAGTAATAGTATAAAATTAATATTAATAACATTATTAATATTTACTAATATTAATATCTGTGGCTCGCGGGTTCATTGTTTAGCCAGCTATTACCCTGTGGTAGATGTTGGTTTGGCCGACTAGTCCGTTATAGTCCAGTGAGCCCCGTGCCTTGTGATGGCTCGATAAGCCTTCAGCCACCGTCATCCACTCCGACATCCTCTTAAAACCGGAGTTCGACATATTTCTTTGCTTCTCCAGTTAATCACGACTGTGACGACTCCAACTCGGACGGAAATTCAGGAACCCTGAGTCATGGATGAGTCCTTCCTCAGGTTTACTAAGTGCAAACCAATCGAGCCTTTAAATGCTACAGAGGCAGGAGGCGTCCGTAACCGACTGCTAAGTCTTACGCTCGGGACAAAGTCTGCAAACGCAAGCTGTCTTACTCCTCGGAGGCCCCATTTGTCAAACACACCCATCTCCACCGGGCGGGTAGCGTTTAAGGACTAAGTTCAACC